AGAGAGAGAGAGAGAGAGAGAGAGAGAGAGAGAGAGAGAGAGAGAGAAGGGGCAAGAGATAGGAAATTTTGGTACATTGGTTGCCACGTAGAGCGGAACGCACGCATGTTCGCACGCATTATTACACATTTTTGATTCGGCGAACGACGACGCATGTACCATGGGTGTGCCGCACGAATATGTCAGTCATGTGTTTTTATTTTTTTCCCGTTTTTGTCCACGAATGATGATGATGATGATAATAATAATGGGGAAGGCGTCGAAATAATGCGACGACGGCGGTGCACACATACCAAAGCCAGCACGCGTTTCAAGAATATTCATTATGATTGACACATAATATATGTATGTACGTCAGAATCGGAGGATTATATGTAGATATATGCACGGCAATATAGGAACGACAAAGCCCGTCGGGTAGAGGCGAAATCGGGCAGAAGTAAAAAAAGAAAGAAAAAGAAATCAATCAACCAATCGAACCGAAATACGTGATAAAGCGGAAAAGAGGTGCGCGTTGTGTCAGGCCGCCACCCGTCGGCGACGTGTGCATGTGTGTGTGTGTGTGTGTGTACGCGTCGCGCATATTTTCACCGGCATTATCATTTCGTTTATTTTTCATTTTACCACCGCAGGGCGGCATTTTCAAGTCGCGCGAGTCCACGTTCGAGTCCGTGTGCCGTTTTATTTCGTTCATTCGTTTGTCAAATATTTATCGAACGATTCGGCGTGGCCAGCGACGAGCGGAACGAGTTCAGCGATTGCGACGAATTAAAAAAAAAAGGAGAGAGAGAGAGAGAGAGTGATAAAGAGGAGAGTAGAGAGAGGGGAGAAAAGGAAGAGAGCACCGGCAACCCATCACCAAAGTTCGTCGTTCGTCCGCGATTGGTTAGCGAATGCGAACGAAATAATTGGTGATTTCGCGTCGAGTTTTTTAAGCGACGTGTGCGAAACGAAATCAGCGACCCGTGTGTGCACGAGAGAAAGAGAAAACGCGCGTGCATCGTTATTGTTACGCATTTGTCGTTTTACGTGACACGTGCGAGAACATTTTGCAGGCAGGCCACGGACGAACACGTAATTAACGTCAGGGTGTTAACGATAATTATTTTGTATATTGTTCGTTTTTTTTTTTTAATTTTTCGCCGCGAGAAGATTGTCGACGTGCGAACGATGGGAGAGTCGTCACGCAACACAATCGCCACATGAAAGTGCAATTCAATCGGGGAGATCCGGTGAGGGGATTGCAGGCGGTGGGTGCAGGAGCCGTTGCAGTGATCGTGGCCGATCGTTTCGGGATCAATTAGGGGATTAGGCCGGCGCCGGGTAGGCCACCACAGGGACGTCGCATCGGTTCGATCGGACGGATCGGGATGAAAGCATCGGTGGGGCGGGGATGGTGACGGTGGCGGTGGTGGATCAAACGGTAGTGGAATGCGTGGTAAATTTTCGATTGAAAGACGTGCGATGGTGGGTGGTATATCCAGGCGAGGGCAAGCATGAAACAGAAAGTTGAAAGAGAGATCATGAACGATCGTGTCTCAACATGCATTTGGTGACGCGGCGTGTATGACACGTGTGATACATAAAATATATATATACATGTATATGTATGTGTGACGACTGGCATTCGTCTCGTACAGAGGCCTGGTCGCTAACGGAATACAAAAGTCGCACACGCGCACGCCAATTGTCCCATGCAGCAAACGCGGGCTGCAAACGTACACGTGGCGAAGAGACGTGTACAGTGTTGTGTCGCATAAATATTATTTATCGCACATCTAAACACACAGTAACTCTATCCGGGATGTGTGTATATATATATATATATATATATATATATATATATATATATATATATATAGTATACGGCGATACAGCGACAAATAGCGACAGTCTTTCAAACGAGTATTTCGCTCTCGTGCATTCCATTCTACGAAGCGTTGCGTTTGTACGTAACACCATGTTCGCATGCGCTGATAAGTGTGTCTGTATCGAGTTTTGTCGAGGCGACAGTCTGACCAGGCAATAATAGATACAGATGACTTCCCATTTGGAGCGATTAATGCATTTCCGGTGAGAGAGGGAGAGAGAGAAAGAGAGAGAAAATAGCAGATCTAAATCCGCACAAATCAAAATTGCCCGCGGCTGGAAACGCTGCGTTTCGCGCGGTGAACGTTTTCAACGTTTTTGAACCTCCGAAATTACCTAATTTCGTACGCAACTTTTTATGTTGTGTGTTCTCCACTCTCGACAAATTTAAATTTCACGAAGCTGCGTAAACTTTTAATCAACTCGAGCGGTAGCTCGTGCAGCAGCAGCAGCAGGTGAATAAGATAAATAAATTGGTCATACTTTCTGTAATTGCGCACTTCGGTTATAATTTCCTTCTTTATTTTTAAAACACATCTCGAGTTACTTTCCGTTCGTTATAGCAGTTGACTTTGTCGCTCGTTCTCGCGCGGAGAAACGTTGTCCCTTAATATATTTGTTATTCCAGAGGTTTAAACACTCTCGTTCGCGTTTGCGTTTCGCTCTCCACATTGGTCTCCGGGAAATGCATTTAGCACGCAAATCGGGGACTACTTATTCAATTAGAATACGTCGTACGTAAGAGACGCAGGATACTGCAGGTAAGCACACGAATCTGCATCTACTGCGAGATACTGTACGATTCTGCGTCAGCTCTGAGTAGCCTATCAAGTACCACAGAGATATCATATAGCGGTACGATTAATCGACGACGAAGCTGAAGCTTGCATAATGCAATTACGGTAAAGTGCTACTGCGATACTTACATTGGAAAGTGTGCGCTGCAGGTTGAGTTTTAATATCGGCGCAGGTATGCGGGTATGCGAGAAGCGTCGCTTGCGTTCAAATTCTTTAGCACAGAAGAAGATAGACAGCGCAGCGCGATGTAAAATCGATTATTATTAATGGCGAGTCTGGCGGGAGGATCGTGGTGGGGCTATATTACAGAAGCACATGTAAACTTTTATTAGCCACGAGCGCAGGAGACGGACTTACTTAAATGTATATATTACGGCGCACTCTCTGCTGGACTATAGGAGAAGAGACTTCCCCGATAAATGCGGCGTAAATTTTCTTTCTCTCTGCAGACGTCCCGTCGACACGAGTGCACAAACGCGTAATATATAACGAGCAATAACCAGATCGCCGCCGTTCGACCATTTAATGACGGGAGAGGCCAATCACGCTGGAATACGCACGTTCCGCGCGTTCCGTCCGTCAGATTATTTACGTTCGCGAGTCATTCGTACGTACGTACGTTCGGTCATACGTTCGTTCGTTTGTTCATTCGTTCGTTCGTTCGTTCGTTCGTTCGTTCGTTCGTTCGTTCGTTATGTCCGTAGGATTCGAGTGCAACAGCAACAAACCATCCTCAAATCACCGCGGATACGCGACTGCAGCACCGCGGGATTAATTCACCCCGTGCTTGCACACAGCCATAAACTGTCGTTTATGTACTGGCGTAACGCGCAATAGTGCCGATGAGTCGTGTTCGTTACTCTCGACGGGTGCACGCTGCAGTCGCATGTCGCGCTCATCGGCAAATTGCATCGGCCGTCCTGAGTTTTTCCCGGATGGCTGCCGCTCTCCTCGCCACGCGTCGCCGGGAAATCGTACACTGTCGTGGCCGAATCGTGAATCGTGCTTCGTTCGGGGCGTTCGTGGCGCACGGTGATCGCGACGAAATTACGCCGACGATACGGGGACGATTCACGTCGTTGCGAAATGGCTTGCCGAACGTGGCGGAAGCGGCAAACGGGGCGCGACTAGAAGCAGCTAGCGTAGTAAGGTTGCTGCGATAAGGTAAAAGACTGGATAAGTATATCGCGCGGAACACGTCGATTGTGACGAGCACATAACAATAAAAAGGAAAGCAACGAAGTCGTCGCGTTTATCGTCTCTTAGCTTATCGCACAGAATTGCTCAGCGAGGATCAACGATTCCAAAATACACGACGGAGCTAATCGGTATTGCATTTGCGCAATTGCGCGGGCGATCACTCTTTGGAACCGTGATCTTCGACCTTTCGGCGTTTCTCGAGATTCTATATTTACAGTAGGCTCATCTTGTGCCAAGCGTTATGAAGGAGCTCATATTAGGCACATACGTACATCTTACGCAGGCTTAGCGATGAATAACAAAGAAAGCCGGAGAGGAAGCGAAGGGAGAGCAGGGATAACGTAGTGAGGGCGTATCAGAACAGCTGAAAAAGGTCGCAATAAGAGAAACGTCTTATATCTCACAAACTTTTAATTGTCAATTTCGGAGTATTAACTTGATTTTGAACAATTATCGTGTCTATTCATCGCTCGAAAATTCCAAATTGTCTGAATACCGGAGCCGTGTATTGCGAAAGTAGCGTACCAGCTACTTAAACGATACATGCGTATCAGCTTTTAAAGCTCACTTGAAAACACCACGAGCTCGCGTGTATGGAGTCTTGTTACTCGATCTCTACCTGTCGCGCGAAATCGGCGACCGAATCGATATGAATATTCGAACATTAGATCCAGAAATGTGTCGCGGCACGCCACGTTCGAAATAGACGACTCGCGAGAGTACGACAAAACGCAATGAGAGCGCGCCGACCTTCTTCTCGGATGACGATCAACCACCTTTGCCAAGGAAACGGAGTTTAATGTGACGACTGTAAGAGAGTGGATCAGGATCGCGGGGATAGATCGGGCTGTGTGTGGCGGACACTTATATATATATATATATATATATATATATATATATATATATATATATAT